AACATTTTCCAGAATAGATAACATACTAGGCCACAAAAAGAGCCACAGTAAGTTCAAAAGGATTGAAATTGTACCAACCAAGTTCTTAGATCACAAACGTATGAAACTAGAAATAGTATAAAGAAAACAAAAAGGCTCACAAACACATGGAGGCCTAACAACATGCTCCTAAATAATCAGTGGATCAATGACCAAATTAAAACAGCAATCAAGCAATGTATGGAGACAAATGGAAACAACAGCACAATGCCCTAACTTCTGTAAGACGCAGCAAAGGCTGATCTGAGAGGAAAGTATATAGCAATCCAGGCCTATTAAAGATGGAAGAACAATCCCAAATGAATAGTCTAAAGTCACAATTATTGAAACGGGAAAAAGAAGAACAAATGAGGCCCAAAGTCAGCAGAAGGAGGACATAATAAAGATCAGAGAAGAAATAAATAAAACTGAGAAGAATAAATCAATAGAAAAAATGAATGAAACCAAGAACTGGTTCTTTGAGAAAATAAGCAAAATAGATAAACCCCTAGCCAGACTTATCAAGAAAAAAAGAGAATCTACACACATAAAAAGAATAAGAAATGAGAAAGGAAAAATCATTAGGGGCACCACAAAATACAAAGAATTATTAGAGAATACTATGAATGTCTGTATATATGCTAACAAACTGGATAACCTAGAAGAAATAGAAAACTTTCTAGAAAAATACAACCTTCCAAGACTGACCCAGGAAGAAATAGAAAGTCTAAACAAACCAATTACCAGCAATGAAATTGAATCGGTAATCAACAAACTACCCAAAAACATAATGACCAAACCAGATGGATTCACTGCTGAATTTTGTCAGACATTTAGAGAAGATATAATACCCAGTCTCTTTAAAGTTTTCCAAAAAGCTGAAGAGGAGGGAATACACCCAAACTCATTTTATGAAGCCAGTCTCACTCTAATATCAAAACCAGGCAAAGACACTACAAGAAAAGAAAACCACAGACCAATATCCCTGATGAACATAGATGCAAAAATACTCAACAAAATATTAGCAAACGGAATTCAAAAATACGTCAAGAGGATCATCCACCATGATCAAGTGGAATTCATCCCAGGAATGCAAGGATGGTACAACATTCGAAAATCTATCAACATCATCCACCACAGCAACAAAAAGGACAAAAACCATATGATCATCTCCATAGATGCTGAAAAAGCATTTGACAAAATTCAACATCCATTCATGGTAAAAACTCTCAAGAAAATGGCTATAGAGGGCAAGTACCTCAACATAATAAAGGCCATATATAAGAAACCCACAGCCAGCATCATGCTTAAAAGCGAGAAGCTGAAAGCTTTTCTTCTAAGATCAGGAACAAGACAAGGATGCCTACTCTCCCTATTTTAATTCAACATTGTACTGGAGTTCCTAGCCACAGCAATCAGATAACTCAAAGAAATAAAAGGCATCCAGATTGGTAAAGAAGAAGTCAAATTGTCACTGCAGATGACATGATATTGTACATAAAAAACCCTAAAGAATTCACTCCAAAACTACTAGAACTAATATCTGAATTCAGCAAAGTTGCAGGATACAAAATTAACACAAAGAAATCTGTTGCTTTCCTATACACCAGTGATTAACTAGCAGAAAGACAAATCAGGAAAGAATTTCATTTACAATTGCATCGAAAAGAATAAAATACCTAGGAATAAACCTAACCAAGGAAGAGAAAGACCTGTACCCTGAAAACTACATGACACTGTTATGAGAAATTAAAGAGGATACTAACAAATGGAAATTCATCCCATGCTCTTGGGTAGAAATAATTAATATTGTCAAAATGGCTATCCTGCCTAAAGCAATCTACAGATTCAGTGCAATCCCTATCATAATACAGATGGTATTCTTCAAGAAATTGTAACAAATAGTTCTAAAATTCATATGGAACCACAAAAGACCCTGAATAGCCAAAGCAATCCTGAGAAGGAAGAATAAAGCAGGGGGGATTTTGCTTTCCAACTTCAAGCTCTACTACAAAGCCACAGCAATCAAGACAATTTGGTACTGGCACAAGAAGAGACCCACAGACCAGTGGAACAGAATAGAGAGTCCAGATATAAACCCAAGTATATATGGCCAGTTAATATATATGATAAAGGAGCCATGGATATACAATGGGGAAATGACAGCCTCTTTAACAACTGGTGTTGGTGAAACTGGACAGCTACATGTAAGAGAATGAAATTGGATTACTGTCTAACTTGATATACAAACATAAACTCAAAATGGATCAAAGACCTGAATCTGAGTCATCAAACCATAAAACTCTTATAAGAAAACATAGGCAAAATTCTCTTGAATATAAACATGAGCAACTTCCTCATGAACATATCTCCCTGGGCAAGGGAAACAAAAGCCACAATGAACAGTTGGGACTATATCAAACTGAAAAGCTTCTGTACAGCAAAGGACACCATAAGTAGAACAAAAAGGCTTCCTACAGTATGAGCAAATATTTTCATAAATGACATATCCAATAAGGGGTTGACATCCAAAATATATAAAGAGCTCCTGTGCCTCAACAAACCAAAAGCAAATAATCCAATTAAAAAATGGGCACAGGATCTGAACAGACACTTCTCCAAAGAAGAAATTCAAATGGCCAACATGCATGTGAAAAGATGCTCCACATCACTAATAGTCAGAGAAATACAAATGAGATATCACCCCACACCAGTTAGGATGGCCACCATCCAAAAGACAAACAGTAGCAAATGTTGGCAATCATGTGGAGAAAGGGGAATCCCCCCTACACTGCTGGTGGGAATGTAAATTAGTTCAACCATTATGGAAAGCAGTATGGAGGTTCCTCAAAAAACTAAAAATAGAAATATCATTTGTCCCAGGAGTTCCACTCCTAGGAATTTAACCTAAGAATGCATGATCCCAGTTTCAAGAAAACATAAGCCAGGCAGAGAAAGACCAGTACCAAATGATTTCATTCATCTGTGTAGTAGAAGAACAAAGCAAAAACTGAAGGAACAAAATGGCAGCAGACTCACAGAACCCAAGAATGGACTAACAGTTACCAAAGGAAAGGGGACTGGGGAGGGTGAGTGGGAAGGAGGGGTTAAAGGGAGTAAGGGGCATTACGATTAGTGCACATAACGTGGTGGGGTGGGGGCACGAGGAAGGCAGTATAGCACAGAAAAAATAAGTAGGGCCTCTATAGCTTCTAACTATGCTGATGGACAGTGACTATAATGGGGTATGTGGTGGGGACTTGATAATGGGACAGCATCCAATGAGTAACCATAATGTTGCTCATGTAACTGTATAATAATGATAGCAGAAAAAAAAATGACCGGAGAAGTGGCAATAAATTGTTGATCTCCCTGAAAAATAAATGTAAATTAAATTAAACATGAGACTCATTGAGAATAAAGTACTAGATTTCCTTTAAAAATTTAATTAATTAGATTTCCTTTAGAAATTCAATTAATCTAACAATTTAAGTGACATCTGTGCCTTCTTGTCATGGAACTTAAGATATGGACTGAACATCTTTTTTATGCCTTGGCAATTGTCCATTCTGAGTTTAGATCAGGTGCCTACATTTTATCATTTGTATTTTCCTTATTATGAAATATCTTCCTTTAATGTGAAGTTTTTTGCCAGCATCATGCTCCATCAGGCATCCTTTCACCACAGCCACTTTATTCATTTATGTCAGGGAAGTTCACTATGTGCCTCTGGTTGTGTATCTAAGTCTCTGGAACAGTGGAGGTGTCTGCATTCCCAGGTCAGCTCTCTTCTCGTCACAGATTCACTTCTAGCATAGCTACTTTGAACACTTTTGTCTATTTGCCAATTCCTCCTTTCAATTATTCATTTTTGTTCAGTCCTGAATGGGCTTATCATGAGAAGATAAGGAAACACCCTAACCACATGTTTTGCTATCTGTAAGTGAACTGCATGTGACAGATGAACAGTGACCAGTCACCAACAGAGTTTGAAAGAAGTGATATGGTGATGGTGTGTATCTATGCAGTATTTTGTGAACTGAAGTGTCAGCATGAAAATTTGTACATCATGCCACAGCTAATACACCATGATGACTGAAATGTAAACAGTATTGTTGAGGGAGACTGGTGCTATTTAACTAAAACATGATAAATGAAATAAATCCAGGCATATCTGAATTGTGCAAAGCAAGGATTGCCTCTTTTGCACGTAATTGGTATCAAGCATATAAAAGCCTGCCCTGCTTCATCCTTGAACAGTATTAAATAGGTATTTCCTTGAGACCTTAACATTTTAATTAATAATGTAATTGCCTAAATTTAAATCTCATTTAAAGCTAAATTAATCTATCTCTAAAGGGAAACATTTTAATTGCTTTACCTGGGCTCCTATCCTTTGCCTTGATCGTACAGGGTTTATATTACAGCTTTTGTGAGCAATATTCTATGTTTTTTAATGATGTCCCAGCTGGTCTGTACATAATAACTTTTAAAAACTAAATTCTAAAACACATACATAGTTCTCCAATGACTTGTGGACTAGAATCATATTTAATCCTTGTTAGGTACCAGTCTAGTTTCAGGAGTCACATTGCTACTCTGTAGGACTTCTATTAAACTCAAAACTATGCACTTAAAAAATAACTTTCTGTTCTATACTAACTCAGTTCCATTATCTTGAATCTGTCAGAGAACTTTTCTGATTTGTAAACTTTGCAAAATTCAAAGTATTTATAATTTTTATGAAAGGAAATTAGTTCTATATGTATATTTAATTTTTTGATACGTCTGTCACTAATTTATCAAAGAAATGCTTTAGCTAAAAAGCATTATTTCTATGGTGTTGGCATCATGTACCAACATGTGAAATAATTCAAATCAAAATATTATTTGGATATGCATAAGGAAATTCATTTTAAGCATTTATGTTATTTTGGTAAATCAGTACTCAATTACAGGCCTCTATTTACATCTATTTATAGATTCAAAAGGCAATTTAGGTCTGGATCCTTAGAGGTCATTTCAATGCCTGCCTTTTTTTATCCAAGCATGTTACATGCCAAGCAATCAACTGAGGACTCACAAAAATTAGAGAGGTATGACATTTTAATAGAGAACGTTCTTAAATGTCTAACTTCATGTGATGAAATGTTGGAATCAGCATCTAATAGATTCTATTTCAAAAACAGCCAGCTCCTGTTGGCTTGCACAAGCTGACTGTGTATATCACTTCCCAGCTCTGTGTCAGTGACATCACGTTGCAGCCTGAAATCAGCCGCAGTAGAGCACTAAATATATCATGGAAACAAGCAGAGCTACAAATCAGGGCTCAGTTCCCCACCCAACCCAAGTCAGTTGTTAAACATTTACCACTGGCGTACCACTGAGTATGGATGTTCACGTTTATAGTGAATATAATTAGCAAAGGCATAATGAAGGAAAACAATAAAGAAAACCTGGGGTTATAAATCATTACACCTGGATTCTAGTCCCAGATTTTTCTATTTACCAGTCATCCCAGGCAGGTAATCGAGCCCTATTTTCTTAGCTTTCTCAACTCTCTGGTATGTATAAATAAATCTACATTACATATTTGGAGAATACATTATGAGAACAAAATATGATAATATTTATGAAAGAATGTTGAAAAACTATAAGCTCTATACATAATGCAAAGTATTATAATTGTTTGGTTCTAAATGGTATAGGTGTTATAAGAAATGTAATGATTTGGTTCCTTAAAACTTAATAGAGCAAAAGACACGTCAGAATTCAGAAAAAGGTCTTATCTCAGGTAACTGATTAGCTCTGCTTTGTTTTAAGATAATAACTAGTATATCATAATCTAGATATCTTTCAAGAGTTTTGCTCTGCTTTTAATTAGTAACTCATGTTATATTTGGTTTTTAATCATAAAGCTGGGTGACATTCTGGATCCTTGTTTTTCCTTCTGCCAGTCTGCCTTGGACTTATTAGCTCAGGCCATTATAGATCTATTTGCTTTCCCTAATCTCCCTACCACAGCCATAAGAATCCTTTTTCACATGAGATCAAAGCCCAAAGTTCCCTGAATGTCATAGAAGATCCTTCACGGTCTGGTCTCTGCCAGCCTCACTGACATCATCAGCTTCTTCCCTGTCTTTGCTCTTAAATCTAGGGTGGCTTGCTCTTTCATACATTCATGCTTTTGAAATACTGTTCCTCTACATTGAATGCCCTACCTCCTTTGCTCCACCCTCCCCATCTTACTGTAAGTCTTCATTGTCCAAATCTTTATATAGCACTTACCTAATTGTTCAAATTTTATTATCTTCCTGTCTTCTCATCTTAGACCATGAAACCCAAAAGAGCAAGAACTTCACTGTGTTCTGCTCTTTGCATTTTCAGGAACTGGCCTAGTATCTAGCTTAGTGAAATTTCTTTATACTTTCACTTCCGTAAGACCTAATATCAGAAAGAATATTAACCATACTATATGAATCAAAATTTAAATAACCAAAATGTAGAGAAAATAGGCTATGCTCACCCTAGAGTAGCAACAGCAGACACTGTCCACAGAATAAAAATGGGAAACTTTTTAGTATAACATGTTCAGTTTCACTTAATATAGATAGTGCTCTATGTTAGCAAAGTATTAGTTTGTTTTAAATTGCTGCTGCTGTTTATAAATAAAAATTAAATAATGACAAATATTAACAGATTTTGTTACCTACTTTTAGTTTGCAAATCAACAAGTACTGGATTTCTGTTTTTTAATGCTGTATCCCCAACCCAAGGCCAGATATTATTTGCAGGTGAGATCTTGTTATACACAGAATTTAAGCCAGAAGTATTGTTCTCCCTCTCTCCTTTGATCCTTCCTTCCTCATTGTATTCCTCCACCTTAGAAAATAGTCATTTTATTAAAATGCTGTAAAGAAGCTTAAAATTAATTATATATTAGTCCTCATGTTGGATTTACTAGTCACAGAGGAAATTACTGTTGTCTGAAGCACTGAAAAATTATCAAATGAGACAAAAATAGAAACAGTGCTGTCTACATTTTTCTACCTACAATTTTATTAGACTAAACACATATATTTTGAGCTCTTATTTTATGTCAGAGTATATATGCTTATCACTGCTCCCCTACAACATGTCACAACTTATGAGTAACACAGTTCTACAAGACCTCATTGTATTTGTGAAATAAGCAATTATATGTAGGTAGTATCCTTGAAATTCCTGCATATTGTTAATTGATAATGTTGTGTTTCCCAACAGTGAGTATGTATCTCACTACATGAGACAATGTGCAATCATGGGAAGAGCCGGCAGAAAAGAGTTAGAAAGAGGCCTTAAGCAAGGTCTTCACTTTTACTGGAAGAAAAGAAAAATACCCTTTGATTCCCAGTTGTGGAAATGTAATAGAAACATGAGCTCCAGCCAACAGACTCTTCCCAGTTTGAAACAACACAATTCTATTTTGTACTCTAGTAATATGCCTGAGAACTTGCACATTGTTCCTCTTAGGAGGCCCTTTTAGTTTACTGATTGCACATAATATATATTAAATTTTAAAAAATGGGGAACTGTTTTTAGGTTTCTTCACACAATTATTCTAACCAACTAGCTTGGGTATAAGTGCTAGTTCCTTTTTGTCACCTCTTTGTCAACCACAGTATCTGGTGATAGGACTTGGCACCTATCATCTCAAGCATAAAACTAGTTAGTCTTAAACAAGAAACTGATGTATTTGTGAGGATGAAAATGGACTCAGATTTTTTCCAAAGGGGATTTAGATTTTTTATGTTATGTATTAGTATTTAGGAAAGAAACATCTCTGGTCTCAGCATCTGAAAATGAAAATTGACTAACAGTAAATTCCCTCAGTAAATTGAACTAAGAATAAAATTATTACCTCATAAAAGTATTTTTTCAGTATATTCTATTGAAAATATTTTGAATTTTCAAGCTAATATAACAAATATAACAACTGGAGAATTCAAGGGAAGCATCAAAGATATTAATGCTTTTTTTGGTGTTTTTTCTGGCTAGAAGATGATATCATAGCTAAAAAGATGTACTTAATGAAAATCACAGATTTTGTACATAATATAACTTCAAATAATTGGTTTTACATTGAGTTTTCCATTCTTGGATTCATAGGTAAGCAATGGATCTATTTCTTAGCACACTTTTAATCTTAAAAGTTCTTAAGAACTTATCAGAGTTTGTTGCTAAATGGAAGGGAATGACATGATTACTATAAAAATACTATTAACTTAATAGTAAGATCAGATTCAAGTATCTGAATTTCATAAAATGTATTTTTAAAACAAGTATTTTTCAATAGACAATATAAATAAGCAGAATGACATGTATACACATATGTCATAAAAACATAAGACAGCTATAACTTGTTAATTGCTTGCTATGAATATGGCCCACATTAGCTCAGTGACTAAGATGTATTTCTCTCTCTTTTACATAAAATAAATACAGAAACCCAAAGAATTAAAGTTATACAGAAAGGAATTTAACTTAGGATATAGTACTCTAAAGTCACTGTAATTTCCATTATGCCAAAGCTAATATACTTAAAAAAGTATAAGAATATATTAATTTATTCCCACTACAGAGAAGTTCCTAAAATTGCACACGTGTTTTTTTTCACAATTCTTCTATTTCCTTTTTCTTCCTCCCACTTTTTCCATGCTTCTATCCTTTTTTCTTTTATTTGAACATTAAGGCAGCAAGTTGAATCACCATATTCATTTCATGGTGTATGTTAATAACTTTCTGATGCAGGAGCCTCTCTTATTCTATTCTTTTGTTTTATGCCCAGTCCCTACTCCCACTTCCTCTCACTCACCAACAGGTTTTCACTCTAATATGTTCAAAATATACATTCAAATATACATATATCCATGTAAAATATTTGGTATTTATCTTGTGTGTCCCTTTTCAATATTTACATGAATGGTGATGTGATAAGCCTATTTTTGTTCCTTACATTTTTGTTTCTTGTTGTCAGCTTGTTGATTTATGTTCATTTAGCTCATTGCTCCTTACTGCTGCATAAATACTATAGAATAATCTATGTGACTTATCCATTCCTGGAGGCGTGGATCTTGATTTCTTCCAACTCTGCTGCCACAAAGAAATGAAGTGACATCTATGTCTCCTACAAATATAGCTGGGTCTTGAAGTACTGCCAGATTGCTCTGCAGATAGGCTGTACAGTATGTACCCCTATACCTGTGCATTTGAGTTCCTGCTTTCTGTTGACAATTTATCAAAAACTTTAGAAACCAAGAGATCTCTGAATTAAATGTGTTTATTGAGTCTTTACAGATGCTAGCCAGAAAAAGGACTGAGTCATGAGACAGGATGCTTTACCAGCATTAAGGCTGGTTAGCAGAAACAGCTTGTCCACCAGACTCAAGAAATGGAATGCATTTATGAAGGGTCTCAAGGAAAAAATTGCCTTAAATTCACATTGGCTACAGATAAGGAAGGTGGACTCACACGAAGGTGGGGAAAGTCCAGGGATAGATAGGTGGTTAGTCCATAAGAAGGCTCGTGGATTGGCTCTTAATGATGGTCAGACACTGGTCAGATGCAAAGAGGATGCAGTGGTCCTGGGGACCTTGTAGATGATTTCTGAAGTGACTTCATACAGGAATGTAGAGTTTCTGGTTAGCTACAGCCCACAGCTATTGATTGATTACCTTCCCTTATCTTTTTCCCTCATTCTCCAGCATTTATGTCACTTAATTTCGGACATTTCATAATTGTTTCTTATCACCACATACTTGACAACATTTTATTCTATACATTAAAATGTTTTCGCCATTGAGAGGAGTAAAAACATGTCTCTGATTGCTAATGAAATCCTTCTGTTCTTCCTATACTTATGTGACCACCTTCTTTCCCTAACTTTCTGTAAACTGGTGTGGAATCCAATTTTTGCTCAGCTTTGATTAACACAAGAAAATTATAACTAACAGTCATACCTGATGAGGATCTCTGGGAGAAAATAATTTTGTTGATACATTACTTTGAATTCCTGTTGTCTTTCTCAGCAAAGTCAGCTATGAGAAGGACAGAGAATATTCACATTCTGATCACAAGAGTAAACTGAACGATATATATCACATTGAAGTCTTAATTCCACTTACATTTACAAAGGCTTTGCTTTTATGTTATAACAATTCCATTATTCAGTATTTACTAAAAACATGAGTTTGTTAAATAGAATTTTACAGCATGTTGGTAGCAGGTAAGGAAAACACAAATATTGAATTAACTATTTCCATCATTAAGTCACTTGCTCTGGCTATTGTACAAACAGGTGCCTCCAATTCAATTACAACTATACCTTTGATTAAATGACTCAAGTTCTAATTAAAAACTGACACATGTTTAAACTTATTATCATATTTGTTAAATGGTTAGATGTATTTTAGACTATGTACTTCAAAGTGAACATTTACCTAAATATTATATATTCAACTTCATTTTACAATTAAAAATGCAATATATTACAAAAAAATTGGGGCTAATGAAATTAAACCTTAAAATACAGGAAATTTTTTAAGAAATATGAAATATGAACAAATGTGAAATAAAAATAATGTTCTTATACAATAATGCTCAAATATTCAAATGACACTACTTTAATCAAAATTAAGTACTATAAGTTAAAAATGTGGTAGATTGATTAAGGTCTACAAAAGTCAGTTTACAAATCAGTTTCTGAAGATTAAGTAAAAGCTTGCCCACTTGCCATTTTATTCACTTACTTTTCAATTGATTTAGGCATTGATCCTCATTAGCTATAAAAATTGATTTCCTGAGAATATTCACTATTCTGAATCTGCTTCCACTTTTTCTCCTTAATATTAACACATACGTTATTTTGTTTTATTATCCTCCAACTTCATCAGTGCTTAAAAATTTATTTCCAAGAAATAAGATACATTTAATTTTTCATAACTTTTGCTGTTTTCCCATGTTAATGAAATGAACAACAATATATGTAAGGGGTATATTATGATATATGGTATAAACACACAAGACTTATTTGGATTTGTTTACTTTTTCTCCTTTAGGAAAGCTATTTAAATCTGAGGACTTAACTGACTTTGTACATTTTTTTTAATGTTCTACAAAGATAAGCCCATAGACGTGCTCGTAGGAAACATTTTTCAGATAAAGATGTGTAACACAGGAGAAACTCCTGTGAGTATTGCTTTACTTTGTAAATACCAGATATTTTAGGAAAATAATATATGCCTAATATAATTACCAAAAAATGGTTTACCAAGCCAAATGTGATGAGTCCATCCATTTTTTAACTTTCCATATCCTAAATTTTTACTGACTCTTATGCCCACTAAATGAAGAAATGAGGAGCCAAAATGCAGTTTAAAGTGGAAACAGACAAAAATCGTAAACAGGCAGAAAAAAATAATAAAGTGGTAGACATAAATCCAAATATGTCAATATTTACATCAAACACAAATGGTCAAAATATACCAGTTCAGGGACCAGTCATCAGAATGGATAAAAAACACTATGGAATTACTTGCTGTCTATGCTGAGTTCAAGCATAATGATATAGATAGGTTAAAAGTAAAAGATGGGAAAAAATTACCACACAGTCACTAATCAAAGGAAATCTGTGGTAGCTATATTAATATCAAAGTAGACTTTAGAGAAAACAAGTGACAGGAATTAAGAAAGATACTATACACTATAAAAGGATCAAATCACCAAGAAGTCATAATAATCCTAAAAATGTATGCATCTCATAACTGAGCCTCAAAATACACAAAGCAAAAGGTGACACAACTGAAAGGAGAAATAGATTAGTCTAATATAAAAGCTGGAGACTTCAGCACTCCTCTCTCAGTTAACAGAACTGGCTGACAGAAAACCATCAAGGAGATAAAAGAATTGAACACTATCTACCACCTGAATTTGATTGATATTTTAAAACAATATATCCAACCACAGTAGAAAATACATTCTTTTAAAATACACATAGGACTTTCACCAAAATAGACACACCTTGCATTATAAAATAAAGCATAACAAATTTTAATTGAAATGATAAAGGTTTATTCTCTGCCAATGGAATCAAATTATAAATTAATGACAGAAATATAACCAAAAAAATCTACAAATACTTGGAATTTAAACAACACACTTATGAATAAACCATGAGTGAAAAAGGAAGTCTCAAAAGCAATTAAAAAATACTTTTAATTGAGTGAAAATGAAAATACAACATATCAAAATTTGTGAGATTCAGCTAAAACACTGCTTAAAGAAAAGTGTATAGCATGACATTTTAATCTTAGAAGAGATGAAAGATTCCTCATTAATAATCCCAGATTCTACCTCAAGACACTAAAAAAGAAGAGCAAAATAAGCCCAAATCAAGCAGAAGGAAGAAAATAATAACTATAAGAGCAGAAAACAACAAAATCAAAAACATAAAAGCAGTAGATAAAACCAATAAAACCAAAAGCTGGTTCTTTGAAGACAGCAATAAAACTGATAAATCTCTAACAAGACCTACAAAGAAAACCTGAAGACATAAATTACCATTAGAATAAAAGTGAGAATATCATGACATATGTATGTTTATGAATATGTGTGTGTATAAATGTAACAAAATATGCACATTATCTATATGCTGAAATCTCAAAATCTTGAAGAAAGACTAGACATACCATGATTATGGAAGGCTCAATATAGTAAATATAAGAATGCTCTCAAATTGATATGTGAAGTAAACACAACTCCAATCAAATCCCAGCAGGATTTTCTTTGTTGTATATAGAAAAGATGGTTTCTAAAATTTTGAAGAAAAAGCAAAGGAACTAGATTAGCTAAATTGATTTTTTTTAATGAAGTTGGAGGCATCACATACTCAATTTTAAATCTTACTATAAAGCTACAGTAACCAAAACAAGCCTTTATAGACAAAGGGGTAAACATATAGACCCATGGAACAGAACAGACTATTCAGAAATAGTCAGTCAGTCCACATGGAATAGAACAGTCCTCAAAATTTTGCCAGTTGATGTTTGGAAAAGGAACATACACAACTCAATGGAGAAAGAATAGTTTTTTCAACAAATATGTATTTGGATATATATATGTATTTATATTTATATTATATATGTATTTACATATATATAGGTTATTTATATATATATATAAAAGAATCTCAACCTAAACATCATACTTGATACTAATATTTCAAAATCTCTCATCTGTCTAAAAACATAAAACTATAAAACTTTCAGAAGAAAATATAAGACAAAATCTTCAGGACCCAGGTGAAGAGTTCTTAGATGTGACACTAAAAGCATGAACCAATTTTTAAAAATTGACAAATTTGACTGCATCAAAATTAAAACCTTTTGTAATATAAGATTTACTGAATAAGACACCAGAGACTATGAAATAATATTTGTTAATTCCATATACAGCAAGGATTTGTGTTCAGAATATGTATTGAATTCTCAATACTAACAGCAGGAAAACAAACACCCCAACTGAAAAATATATGTGAGACTTGAACAGACACTGCCAAAACTCTACCAAGGTAGTTTCTCCATTACTGCAGTAAGCAATAAACTCATCTTTGCTTTATCAACAGGTTATTTGGGGGGAATTTTTTGGGCAGCCAGCATTTGACAATACCATCTCAGTGTAACTTTCATTAACAGCTTAGAAAATATTACATTATTTGCTAAATTTGACTCAACTTATTTTATCTAACCTTAATTTTTTTCAAACTAACTCTAGACTATTTGTTTTACAGTTATAAAACAGTCCTTTAGTACTAAATTTTCCTATATGTCAGTACTGCATAGAAATGCATTTAAATAAACCTGCTATTTAAAAAAGAATTATTATATATATAAATTTGAGATGTATTTTTATGAATTTTCTATATACAGAGTATATAAAATAATTCTCAGATAGCTGTCATAATAATTTCAAATGTTTGTTTGTAATAGGAGTGTAGTCAGAGGTCATCTTTCTTATTTTTATTTTTAAGGAAATAAGCCAAATCTCTTTCTACTAAATATAATATTGGCTCTTTGTTTTACTCATACTTTTTTCTATTTAAGAAGAAATTGAGGAAGGTGTAATTCACTATAGGAGTTAATTGATGAATATGGGGAAAAAAGAATAATGTGGTCTGAGAGAAATGGAAAGACAGGAAAGTACATAAAACTTCATTTCTGTTATTAGAATAAAAAAGAAGAAAATTATAGTTGCTACAACAGTTACATGATTTTCTAAGAGTTCAGGAAAATACATGCTTTACCTGAAACCCTTTTGCATCTCAACTGTTTTATTATTCTTGTGAAGAAAAAGTTAGGAATTAGATATTTTGTTTAAATTTAAAAATATTAATACAGTATTCTGACAAAAACCAAGAAAATAAAAAATTCTGCTATTAGTACATGCAATGAAAAGGATGATTTGGGTTTTTACAGAAGATTGTTGTTTCTCTTGCTTTTTCCCCAAGAAAAATGTGCAGAACAAAATAAGCAAATCCGTATTCAATATAAACCATCTCTTTTCCAGAATGTGGGTATACAGTCATCACTCCCTGGATGAGAACAACATTTCAAAGTAAGATTTTGAAGTGTAATTTGAGCAATACACAGTGTTTTGTGAGACTGTAAAATATTATTTAGAAAAGAAGTAATGAGAATATGAGAGACTGTAACATATGGTTGTTTAAACACACTTCGTCTGATGGCAGAACTCTGTATACATATAATTTACAGAGCAATCATCTTTTCAAGACCCAAGTTATCTGTCGTAGTTAGAAAAGTTTAGCCTACGTAAACTTCTTTGCCTTACTGTTACCAGCTGTGCAATTCAAATAAGACTAAAAAAGTGCTTTGAAAATCATAGTAAAATTCACTAGTCTAATATTCAAAAATATACAAGAATATTTTTAAACTAAAAGGCCTCTTGTTGAATTTAGATGTATCAACATTCTTCTTTCAGATCACTGTACCAGATGAACAAAAATTCAGCATTCTTTGGTTTTTAGTCATTCTTAAATTTTCCATCACTTTGGAAACAATGTAATTTATAATTGACTTAGTATCTTGGTGGGATAGAAGAAGCAAAGACTTTGGAGTCAGAACACCTCGTTTTTAGTTACAGTAAATTATATATAGGATATGTGACAAGATCTAACACTCTGAGTTTTCTTCATCTATAGACAAGGATTTTAATTAGATTATTTACGTGAAGATTTCTACCTTTAAAATACCATTGACATTTCTACTCCTCTTAGTTTGTTCACAGAACAAAACATGATTGCTGCTTTAATCCTTTGTCTTTTGAAATGAGAGAAGTGCATATACCCATCCTCCCATCATTTCATGCATTAGTTATGACCAGTCCTCTATCCACCTTTTCCATTCTTGCTCTATCTCTATGTATTTATGGTACTGTACTCTTTGGAACAATGCCTGGAACATAGTAGGAACTCAGTAAGTGTTAGCTATTAGCTATTAGGCAAGGTGGAATTCAAGATTTAGAATGTTTGTTAAGACAAAGAAGTACCTGGAACAATGAAAATTTAGCTATTATGAATCTTCATGCAAAAGTAACATCAAAATGCATAAAACACTGCCGCAGGTGATGCAGAAAGAAATTGGTCTATGCTATTCTATTTGTTGGTCCTGTTATAATGGGATTCTTTTCTTCCATTTTATTTTTTCCCCAGAAAAGATATTTTAACCTTACCTTTGATAGATTAAGTAGAATGTTTATCTAATCACTCAGTTTTGATGTTTAACCTTAGTTTTTTTCCCTATTTATGCCTTATACCACATAAAATAGAAATAAATAACAATTTAATGATATGTCAAATGTGATTGTATTTATATAATTTTTAAAATTTCAACAGGATATCTATTATTAGGAGTTTCATAATTCTAATACCTTCTTTAAAAATGATCAGAATCATTCTTTGTAAAAAAATGGCTTTATAAGAATTAGATTACTTCTCAACTTTCTTCGTGTGGATAGGATAAGAGACTATATCATATTTAAAATATTAAGCCTTTGATAATAAAGTGGTAAGTATAAAAATTAATATGAATATACAGAAAATTATGACATTTGTTATTCTTACTTTATATCCTTACATTCTTATTTTTTTTATTATATACATATAAGTTCCTGATATACACTCTCAATATTGTTTTAGAAGAACCAGTATTTCCTTTTCCTTTTTTATCATATACTGTGAACATACAATGAATTTGGAGACAATAGATCTGAGGTGGAAGCCTTATTCCCATAAATAGATGCAGTAATATAGATGAATTTCTAAAACATTATGCTAAGTGAAAAAAGCCAGATGCAAAAGACTATATACTGTATGATTGTGTAAAAGGCAGATCCTAATATCTCATTATGATTTTAATTTGCATTTCTTTAATGACCAATGATGTTGAGCATCTTTTCATTGTCTGTGCACATGTATATATATTTGTATAGATCAAAATATATTTTTATGAAATAATGGGCATTCAAATATTTGTCCATTTAAAAACCTGGGTTGTTTGCCTGTTTATTTTTGAATTGTAATAATTCTGTATATAGTCTGACCATAAGTTTCAGCATATGGCTTGCCCTTTCATTTTCTTAATGGTGTTCAGAAAAATCAGAACAAAAGATTTTTCAGTGAATGAGAGTTCACTCCACTCAAACCTCTCTCTCTCAATATAGTTATATCATTAGCTAGCTTAGTATTCAATTATTTTATAATTATGAGAATATAAACACTATTTGCATTTAAACAATGTAGTATACTCTTTCTACTCTTCCTTTATTATACAACTCTTTTTTTTGGTATTTTAAATTTGCTTTATTTCAGTGTACTTATCATTAATTCACCCTCAAACTCCCTTTGAATTATCTAAATCTATTTTCAATATGTGGAAACAGTAAAAACATCGTGAATAAATATAAAATATTTTTGAATGTTTTTCTGCATTTCTAGCAGTTCGTAATTTTTAAAAGTGTCTCCCCTGTGTTTTCTGACCAGCTCTAGTAGTTATCTTAGGAGCCTATTGAGAGTTCCTTTCATCTTTCTTTCAAGTTGATTCTCCCATTTTCTGTTTCCCAAATCTGCATCATTCTTGGTTTGCTTGTTTGTTTCGGTAAAACACACCCACTGGCAATTTCTTGAGAAAGATTGTCTGAGAGGTAAGTTCTTGAAGAACTAAAACACTTAGAAATGACTGCAGTCTATCAAACTTGTTAGATTGGTTGGGCAGAGAATTCTGAATTGGAAATAATTTCCCCCTGATTTTGAAGGTATTCGAGAATGTAGCTGTTGAAAAGTAGTTAAAACCATTCTAATTCCTGTTTCTTTGTGTAAGACCTATTTTCCCATGTGTTAACCTTTTGAAATGTTCTTGTATTTAAGTTCTTCAATTTCATGATGATGCTATGGATCTATTTTTATCTATTGTGCTTGGTATTTGGTGGGGCTTTTTAATCTGAAAATTCATGCTTCCATTCTTGAAAATATTCACAAATTATTTGTTGATGAATTTTTCCTTCTATTTTCTCTGCTCTTTAAGGAATCCTTTCTCAAATGTTAGATTTCTTAGGTTGATGTTCTCCTTCTCTTTCTCCTTCCTATTTTCTTTCTTTTGCCTTTCTTTCTGGGATTTTTTTCCAAATTTTGTCCAACATTCTTTTTAGTAATGCTTTATTATTATTATTATTATTATTATTATTATTATTATTATTATTATTATGGGGATGGTGGTTTTCATTAATTGGTTTATTTGTTGATTTTTGTTTGTTTTTGCTATTATGGTTTTATTTTCTGAGAACACTTGGTTCTTCTATTGTCATTGCCTCTTTTTATAATATTTGGTTCTTATTTTATGATTGAAGTAGTTCCCACTTAACCTTCTGACGATTTTAACAGCTTTAAAAAAGATTTGTTCTTCCTGCATAGGTTCTGTTTCCCCCAAGTTGCTTTTTTGTTGGTCTCTAACTCTGTGTATCTAATGATCATAGATTTATGTTCAAATGGAGAAAGCTGATTGGAGGCTCTGAGGAATGGCTGGACCTGCCAGTTTCACTGCATTGGGAGGAATGGCTAGGCTATTTCCTTAGGGAATCCCTATGTCAGTACCTTTTGGTTGTTTCAGGGTCTAGTGAAATTGCTAGAGAACCTAGGAGCCAAGTGGGCAAAGAGAGCTGCGGCTTTCAGTGTTCCCTTTGTCAGTATTCGCTTATTTGTACTGTTGGTCCTCATTCTTATCCCTACCCTAGTTTGAGTTTAGGTGCTCTCTGCTTTGCCTTTTCAGAGAATTACCCTTCAAGAGTAGAGAAAAGAGAGTCACCTCGCTTCCGTGGATGGGATTGGGTATCTAGAGCTTAACCACCCCTTAGACAGACTTGTAAGCCATTCTCATAGTTTTGCCCCACATTCACCCCATTCCTAGCAATACTGGGGGGTTTTCCCTGTGGACTGCCTCTCCATTTCCCATTGAGGTACAGTTTTCTCAGACCATTTTGTTGCTATTGTTTTCTGTCCTATTCTATTTGTAAGATCATTTATTTTTAAATGTCCCTTACTGTTATTTTAAGTGTGATTTCAAGAAAGTGAAAGTGAATAGTTGTGTCTGATTCATCCTGTTTATTGGGCAGAGTACTAGTTCATTCTTAACTTTTACTTTTCAGCCTATTTGTTTAGTTTTTAACTTCAGAAAACAAAATTTTAATTTCCAGCACTTGCAGTTGTTTCTTTTTATGTATATGATGTCCTATTTCCCTGAGGAAATCAATTACACCTAAACATTAGTACATTAGTATAAGTGGAATTCGTTATTTTAACTGCTTCCTATTCTTATTGTCCATTGTTAATTTGGCATTACTGCCATCTTCCTCTGCTTCTCAGGGGAAAGACTGGAAGAAAGATACCTCACAGAATGTCTTTCCCCCAAAAGTTCCATGTTAGATTCTATCAGTGAGAGAAATTCGCGGTAGACAGGGAAGACAGTCAGAAGGAAGCGGCTGCCTGCTGTGGGCAGGAAATTGACGTCAGTCTTGCTGCCAGAAAGTGAGGTGACTGGAAGCTTCTGGCTTCCAGGGTTCTTTGGAAAATAGCCCATGGTTCTGCTGACGCAGCTGAGATCATCTGCAATGGCTTCTTTGTAGCCCTTGTACTTCCAGGTTTCCTGAAAGAGGCTTCCTGACCTTTGCTCTCCCCATCTTTCCAGCAATTAAATTCACCTCTAGTTTATTCTATCGGCATTAAATCTATTTTTTTATTCAAAATACCTCAAGCGGCTTCTGTTTCCTTGAGTGACTCAGTTCAGTTCTGTTGCTCCTTGTGTTTCACGCCCCAAACTGAAATTGTCTTTCTTACTTGTTTTTGAGACTGTTCTCTCTGGGAATGCTAAGTCTGTTTTCTACAGCCTTCCCACAGTATTTACCGGGGAGAGATCAGGACTTCTACTACTCGGAGTATTCAGTAGCTTTTCTTCTGAGTAGGAAGACCCCACTCTTCTGGGGTTTTGCTTTTCTTCTCCACATCAAACACCCACACTCACTGTTTCTGCCAGAAAACTCACTTCTGATGTCTCCTGCTT